TTATTTTTTTTAATTGCTATTGTCTGAAGTTACAGCTTTTGGTATTTCAAACTTCCTATTTCTTTTTATTTATTTATTTTTTTTTTGAGGCCGAACAAAAGTAATTATTTAAACTTTTTATTCCTCCGACACTATCTTCTGGTAAAATCCTGAAGGGCTTTACTAAAACCATAACATAAAATATAATCAACACAACACGAAATTAATTAAATGGTTTCTTTTAAACTCCTCTGTATAAATTGTTAAATATACAAAACAATTTTTTTGTGCATACTAATTTCTTTTTACAAATCTAAACAAATATTATTGTGTTGTGTAAAAAACTCTGTGTGTTTATCGACCTGTGTACGAACATTTTCTGTTATCAATTATCACCATATTTTTTTTTTTGAAACATATTGTGTAACTCCTTTTATTTCTATTAACAGACTATTTTCCAAGACCGTCCTGAAAATAATAATTAGTCCTTAATTATTTTAAAAAGAACGTTATATCTTTATAAGAAACAGAGAAATAATTTTTGAATCATAAACTTTATTAAAACAATAATTATTTTTGACTATACCGGTCTATAATGTTTGTAGAGACTTATTTTTATGATTATTTGTCTGCAGTGTAAATTGAACCTTGGTGATATTTTAAACCTTCATATTGTTTAATTTTATTCACTAGAAATAAATAGCCTTTACAAAATCAATTTAAATAATTTAGACATTAAAAATTTGATTTTGCTTGTATCAATTTGCAAAGAGATTATGCAAAAGATGCTTGTTTTTAATTTTAGTTAAAACATTTTTTTGTTATACAGGCTGTCCTATATTGATATCACTATCATTAATTGATCTGAACCTTTTATTTTATTTGATTCTTTTACAAATTCAATTTATTGGAATATTAATTTCAATAACGTCTTTAAAATCATAAACAAGCTACTAAAAATTTTATATTCGTAACTATGAAACATAAATTAACAATTAATTGATATCTGTGTACTTATCTTATTCGAATGTATCCTCTGAAGCTATATTTTCTCACTGCTTTAGTGTTTATGTCAACATGGTCAATCAAAAGACTTATTTTAGCAAAAATGACTTGCAGTTTGCACCTTGCACATCGTAACAGCCTTGTCTTTTCCCATTTTTGAAGTAGGAGTGGATAAGCCAATTTCCAAATGTTCCTGTATGTATCCTTTTTATTCACTAACACTGCTGGACTTGTTGCTTTATGGCTTTATGTCCTTTTCCAGCAACTTAACTTATGGATTCACACACAACATGGCATATTGGCACTTTTTAAACTCTTGTGGTACTTCTAGTAGTTCTATCTCACTTCTGATATGTAAACAATAGATCTTGTATTTTCAAATAAAACACTGGATTTCCCTCATAACTTCTTTATTACATTTTAGTACTTAGGATTACGACACAAACATGTGTATCGTGCGAGCGCACGGTACCGACTGACTGGGCGGGCGCCCACTCACCATCTTATATCCGTAACATTCTATCGCCTCTGTCATAAAAACCATGCATTATGAATAATACAATCTGACATATACATAAACCATAATTTGTTAATCATAACAATACACTATATAAACAAGGTACTCATAAAAATCATAACACAAGATATTCATAAATTTGATACATTAGACTATCCTCCTAATAATGTGTATAATATACCACAAAAAAAAAACAAAAAAATATTAGGTCTTATGAAAGATGAAAACAATGGAAAAATAATGACCGAATTTATTGGTTTATGATCTAAACTATACACTTTTAGAACTCAAGAACATAGTTGTGAAAATTTAAATGTTAGTAAAAAAGCTAAGTGTATAAAGTCATCTTCACTTAAAACTATAACTTTTGACGATTTTTATCAATGTCTTTTTAATAATTCCACTCTTGAAACTGAACAACAGTTAATTCAATCAAAAAAACATCAAGTGCATACTATAGCCCGAAGAAAAATAGCTCTATCTCCGAATGATGATAAAAGAATTATTAATTATTTGTATACAGATACAAAACCATGGGGTTGGGAACTAAGGGGAAACATTTAGAAAATCTTTAGATTTTATTTATTTGTTATAAAACCTCTCATTTTTTGAAAACATAGTCAAATGATGGTGATGAAATACTGATGATGGAAAAGAGAAAATGCTTGAAATATATAAAAGCAATTCCAGGAGCGTTTACTCCTACCAAAGGATCTCCTAGAGCTGCAGGATTTGATTTAAGGAGTGAATTATGTTGTTCGACGGAAGGAAAGTCTTTTTAAAAAACAATTATTTATTTAAAAGTATACAGCGTGAATGTTGTACGTACGAAATCAGGCAAAAGAATGAATTTATAATGAACATTAACTTAAAAGGAAAATTTATCAATAAAAGCATGACCAGCAGGACTCATGGGAAGATCTTCTGTGCGGTTGCAGGTGTGGCGGAAATGGCCACATGTAACTCCTCCCTCCTTAAGACGAAAAGATAACGGAGTTTTCTTTTCATGGAGGGTCTTCGGGCATCTCTTCTTTGGATGGTATATCTTCCTTATGTAGCTCAGCATAGGGTAGAGTAATTTCTTTCTTGTGATGAAGAGTAGGCTCAGAGTGATGAGGATGAACAAAACCATGAATATGATGTCAGTGGAATTGTCCATGAAACTTCTTGTCGATGGGGTTAAGGGATGCAGTTGGTTAACCATTTGCCTTAGCTCGAGCATTTTATCAAAATTTAATTTCGTGATGTTGAAGGCCTCGAAAGATTTACTTCTTTTTAATTGATCAAAACTCATTGGCGGTAGTATTAAAGGCTTGCTGTCTTGTATTGAGACATCATTGGAATACATTTGATAATTTATATGCCCTTAGGAATTTTGATTAGGCTGGGCTCTTGAGTTTCCAAATATCGATCAGTTTTACATTTTGAAAATATTCTTTGTGGTCTTAAAGGTAGTAAAAGTATTTCTCTTAGCGTTATTTGTTCGATGATAGGCTCTTGAACGTGGATGTCGATTATTTTACAGTCATCGGTAGATTGATTTTCGATCAGCTGTAGCGTGCACTGGACATCGGGGTGAAATTCTACGTGGCAATAGAAAGTTTCTTCTAAGAATGGGCAAATGGTTTCTTGAAACTGTATTTTGGAGTCTGCTCGTGCCATATAAGGGTATTTGGGGATAATAACTTGGTGGTTTTGTATTATAGGAAATAAATGATAAAAGGTAAAGGTATCAGGTTTTACGATCGGAATATGGATAGCGAAAATTAGTTTCGTATTCGAAAAAGTTATTTGTGTTCCTAAGAACTGATAGTAAGATAAAATGTTTTTAAATATAGGTATTTGATTTTTATCGTATAGAGTACCTAGATAGTTTATCATTTTTTGGAGCTCTGAGCTAGGAAGTATAGAGTTATGTAATGTATTTAATTTAGGAAACATAATCGCATCTTCTATATTGTCTAGAAATGTAATGATGTTCTGACAGTCTAAATTAATTTGAGAAAGTATTCCTTGTACACTAATGTATTCTTGAAGATTACCGATTTTTTTATTTACAGAGTGTTGGAAGAGTTTTAATCCGTTTTGAAGATTTTCTTGGTTTTTGCTTAGAGTAGTTATTGTTTTGTTATAGTTATCAGTCAACCCATTTGAAAGAGATATTTGTAAATTGACTTCATTGATTAGTTTCTTTTGATCGTTATTTAATTGATTAATTATTGAAACGTATCTATTTCCATCGTCTGCGTCTAATGTTCCGAATAGCCATTTATTGACTTTACCTACAACATTTACTAGTCCTCGTTTATTACGTATATGAGGATATAAATTTTTAATTTTATTTAAGGTGGTTTCTGTTAAAATTTCTGTTCTAGAAAGTATATTTTGTGAAAGCCCTTGATAGGATATCGGATTCGTGCTATTTTTATTGCGTATAATTGTTTCTAATATTAAAAATTGATCTTCTATATTTCTAAATTCGTTAATTATAGTGCTTAAATCTAAATAGTGTATAAAAGTATGCTTAGTATACACTAATTTGGAATTGCCTAAGTTTAAGGGTAAAATAAAATTATTTAAAGGGGTTATTTGGATATCATCGGCACTACATTTCATGAGAAGCAGGGTTGTCAACACTAGTGTTATCTTCATCCTTTCCCTGAAATGAGAGATTACGTTTAGTTTTTGGTTTCCTAGTGCAACTCTTATGATATTATAGGTTGTCGATATTTAAAAGGAATTTCGATGTTATTTTCTGTCAACTTTTGTTGTACTAAATTAATATTAAAATTCATCTGAATAAGATCAGTAAGACCTATGACTCCATCGAAAAAGTCATGAAAGTCGAAGAGAATAAAATCTATGTTATTTTTAATGCCAAAATCTAAAAGAATAGGTACTGTAGCTTGATATTTAGTTAGTTTACTACCTATGGCAGTTTTAATTATGTTAGATCTTTGATAGATAAAGTTTGGAAAATATTGTTCTATTATTGAAGGTTTAATAATTGATTTAATGCTGCCTGTATCGATTAGTAATTTTAAAGAATGGTTTATTGTTTCAATATATGGTAAAGAATTGTTAGTAGCTATATTATTGATTTCGATCAAGTCAATTGATCGTTGAGGCTGGTGTCTTGAAAATTTTCATCCTGTTCGATATTTTTATTATTTATTGATTCTCGATAATATTGATCATAAATTAAATTATCGCATGTATAATTTTGAGTATTTTCGTCGTAATATACATTACTATGGTAGTTATCGTATGACGTTTCCTGTTCACATTCATTGGAGTATAATTCTTGGTAGTTAGAATTGGGATTCCTGTTAAAGAGTTGTCCGTTAGAGATATTCTGTGAGAAACTTTTTCTGCTATTCATACTAGGAATACGTGACGTCGTCGACATCGGCTCGGGTTTCGGTAGTTGACTCGGTGGTATAGGTCGTGGTTTAAATACATCCTGTGGCGGTCCAAATACTTCGCGATTTGTTGGAAATCATCTAGGTGGTACATTGCGTGTTTGAATATTTATCGGTTGTGATTTCCACTCAAATTTTGATTGGGACGGTTGTTGATTACCAAAATTGTTATTATAATTATTATTGTAAGGGTTACAAGTAGCAAAATTACTGGGTGGCTTAAAATTATTTGAATTATTTGAATGGTTAAAATGGTTATTTCTAGAATTAAATTGATTTTGTTGATTATTATTAAAAGAATTAGGTGGGCTATTGAAATTTGGCTTTTGTGATTTATTAAAATCACTATAACATTTTCCATATAACCTTTCAAAATTTTCAAATTCGATCACATAGGCCATCGCGTCTTCTAAACTTGTTGGTTTTTTTATGTGTATGTTATTCTTTAAGGTACCACTACAACCTGCGATAAACGTATTTAACGCGGTTTTGTCGATATAAGAAATATGGCAAAGTTTTTTTTGGCGTGTTAAAGTGGTATCGTTACTGATACGTTGTACCACATTACTTCGTAAAAGTTGTAACCTATTACCGAAAGCTATTATATTTTCATGCTTATCAGGGTGAGTTCGGGTTAACTCTTGTATTAAACAGTCCAGATCTCTTCGATCTGAGAATGATTGAATCAAAGCGGTCTTAAGACTATTCCAATCGGTTAATTCGGCTCGATTACCGACCATAATCTCTGCCTTGTCAATCAATTTTTCTTGAATTGATTCAAGAATATGTTGATTAAGTTCGGCATCATTTAAATTTTTGTAACTATTAAAAATACTTTCACATCTGTTGATAAATTTATTGAGAGTACTACTGTCTCCATCGTACGGTTTAATATTATCCATTTTGGATTTAAATAATTCCCAGTTAAGCTTTGATTCAGTCATTTTTTTAGATGGTATAGAAGAAGAAGCGATTTTGTTTGATTTTTGTACAGAAAATGATAAACTAGCTAATTTTCCTATAATTTCCTCTAATTCGGTCATGTATTTTTAAATAACTTTTTACCTACAACATTTACTAGTCCTCGTTTATTACGTATATGAGGATATAAATTTTTAATTTTATTTAAGGTGGTTTCTGTTAAAATTTCTGTTCTAGAAAGTATATTTTGTGAAAGTCCTTGATAGGATATCGGATTTTTAAATAACTTAATTTTAAAACTAAATATAAAGTAATTATTTATGTATTGATTATAAAAAATTTATTATATTGAATAATAATTTATTTTTTAAAATCGATAAATTATTTTTTCAATTATATTGATTTTTGATTTATTTTTTAAATCGATATATGATTTCTTAATTGATTAATTTTTTTAAATCGATAAATTAATGTTTTCTTTTTCGTTTTTCTTAAAATTACTGCTCCCAATGAGCTGCAAAATTGTGTGCGCTATGCACTGGCCCTAACTATCCCTACCGAAAAACCTTAACCAGAGGGTTCGGAGAGGCAAAAAAGAAAAGGCACTTACAGTTTTAATGCTGTCGTGTTTTCTTCTCCTTTCTCGATCCTTTTGCGACTCGTTGTGGGTGCTGCACTTTGCTGCCGTCGAGGTTCTTCTTCGATACGCGCTTAGGGGTTGAAACCACGAAACGACACAACTGGCCCGAAAAGATGCTCGAAAAACACAGAAATGCCGTCGCTCGTATCCTACCGACTGCGCCAATTATGTTGTTCGACGGAAGAAAAGTCTTTTTAAAAACAATTATTTATTTAAAAGTATACAGCGTGAATGTTGTACGTACGAAATCAGACAAAAGAATGAATTTATAATGAACATTAACTTAAAAGGAAAACTTATCAATAAAAGCATGATCAGCAGGTCTCATGGGAAGATCTTCTGTGCGGTTACAGGTGTGGCGGAAATGGCCACATGTAACTAGTGTCTACAGTATAACCGTACCTGCAAGGGATAAGGCGCTCATAAATACAGGTCTGAAATTTGAATTGCCTTCAGGATGCTATGGAAGAATAGCACCTAGATCAGGATTAGCTTCAAAAAACGGCATCAATGTTGGAGGTAGAATTTTATTTTTATAATTATTAATATAACTATTCATTTTAATTTTCTTCTAGCTGGTATTATCGATCAAGATTATAGGGGAATTGTAATGGTTCTACTCTTCAACCATTCGAGTGAAGACTTTCAAGTAAACGTTGGAGATCGTATAGCTCAATTAATTTGTGAGCATATACACTATCCTGAATTGGTTGAGGAAAAAGAACTTACCCATACAGAACGCAACACCAATGGTTTTGGATCAACAGGGCGATGATAAAAACCTAGCTCTAAGTGTTTTTTTATATAACTTGCCTATAAATATTATTGTAATGAATATATTTATTAAGTATATTAAGCCTATTAAAAAAAATTAGAAGCATTTATACTAGAGAAATCTTGACTGCGAGAAAAAAATAATATATACCCCTTCTTCTCAAATCGTTGTATAAAATGTAAAGATTATATTATTTTACTTTAATATCCATAATAGTTAAGACAGATAGAGAGCGTGAAAAATTTTATTAATAAAAAAAAATAATAAGAATGGTAACTACATGTCTTCCGCAAGATGTATCAGACGAGATTCGTAAATGGCGTGAATTTAAAAGATGTCCAGCATTCAATTACGAGTGTGGTAGATTGTTGTCAGCATTTGACCAATCCTGGTAAATTAACAGGCTCAGATTTAAAAAGGCTTACCGACAAATCTGATGTACCTGAATATGTGAAAACTGCAGTAAAACGGGACATTGATAATCGTCAAGCTGCACATTTACGTAACATACCTGGACATTTTTAATTTATGATTATAAATATATCAGTTTGTAATATTTAGCATATTTAAAAAAAATAAACTGTTTTAAAAGATTTGTCTATGTGTCTTTTTCTGTTAATATATCCAGTCTAGACTAGGTTGGTTAATACAACATTTAGTTTTAAGTAAACCATATAAAATTAGTACTCTTATTGATAACCTTTAACCTATTATGCATCATCACATAAAATAACAAGGCAATATTTTTATTGATGATCTTTAACCTTTTAAACGTTATCACATACAACAACAACAAGGCATAAAAGTAAACAATATAAAATTAGTACTCTTATTGATAACATTTAACATATTATGCATCATCACATGCAATAACAACGCAATATTCTTATTGATAACCTTTAACCTTTTAAACGTTATCACAAACAACAACAACAACATGGCATTTTCCTAAATTTTAAGGAAATTTCTCGTCTATAGCACCCCAACCTATGTAACTCTTATAACAAGGCATATATGCAAACTCCCTAAATCTACTAATTTAGATCTGGCAAAGCAGCATTTGCAGTACCCTCCTGCTTACCCTTAAAAACCTACCCTCCAGAACCAGATATTTGTCAGTAATCGAATTAATGTTATACGCTCTCATTGCATATAAATATGCTGCGATCATAAATCTAAAAATAAGGTTAAAGTTTAAAAACAGTAGTTACTAGTGCATTCGTGCATTTCACAAAATGCCTATTCTTTTGTTGGCCCCCACAGTTATCGGAGTAAAATACCACATCTAGACCAGGCTTCAATTGTGCGAGTTCTTGAAGATAGAGTAACATACATGTTCCAATTTCGCTAACACCCCTGCAGCCTTATCCATCGTTTCAAAAAAACAATAAGATTTATCGTTTCTAATTTCTGATACCTGCAAAATTTATAAAATTAAAAATTATCGCCAATGATATTTTTTTTACTTTACGGTGAAATTGTAACAGTTAAGGACACTTTTATAAAAAAGGCAGATGTTTGTCCAGTTGGAACAGGTAATACGGCCTGTGTATGTGTGTGTGTGTGTTTGTGTAGATCGTACACGGCTAACGTAACTTCTTTATTTTTGGCTCTTTCCTTATCTTTATCTTTTTCTGCTCTGCTTAATTCTTTTTCTTCTAAATGTTCATGATATTTATTTTCAAAAACTTCCTTATCATCACCAACTGCATTTTTATACGCCTCACAAAGGTCACACTGCTCTTTTCGTGGTATAAAGAATCCAATATTATATTCTGTATTGAATATTCTCGCATACATGTTATAGGTTGCAGCTGTTTTGGACAGAAGATCTTCCGCTTGAATTGTGCCTATGTAATTCAGCAATAGTGAGGCCTCCGTCTATAAATTCCCGTGTAGTCTTCCGGACGTAATGGCTCCCAGTCCTTGGAATACTCTCGATGTGGTCCCGCACATATTTTACTATTCCTTCGTCCGCCTTTCTAATGTTTGCCATGTTTTTCTCTTTTGTCTTCAACCACAATTCCATTACCTGATACTCTGGATATGATAACTGTTCGCAATTTTCTTTCCGTTATTCCAAGAGTACCAATTAAAAAAGCTTTACATACGCGATTTTTATTTCCATTAACTACAAGAAAAAAGGCACAATTTGGCTTCCGAGGCTCCCCAGCGGTGATTCGTCTATATTTAAATTGAAGTTGGTCAATACATGAACCTAAGAAACCTCGCTGAACCTGTAATGAGGCCATCTCCCAATATTCCTTAAAAAGCTGAGCTGTCATTTTCGGAAACCGTTTTTGAACATCCAAGTATACATTTTTCTGTGACCTGACGCTTCACCCTTGCCAGGAAATGAAAATGGTGAGCCCTTCCCTTTTTATCGATGCGGCGACGAGGCTTTCCCGTTGTCTATATATCTAATGAGACAATATCCTCAAAGAGTTTTAAATCCGACAAGAAGAATTTTTAATTTTAGGCTCTCGGACGGGAGGAGAAGTGTTGAGTGTGCCTTTGGAATACTCGTGTCAAAGATTCGCATATTCGAAGGTCCAATCTATTGTGATGAGAACAGTGCTAAAAACATTGTAAAAGCTGCTTGTGTTTTACACAATTTCATTAGAACAACATTGGACATAATTCAACCACAAATAAATCGAGGTCCCGATGGTTATCGCGAAGTAACATTATCCACGAGACTTCGTAAAGCTCTCGCTGAATATTTTTTGATGGTGAAAGGATCAATACCGATTCAATGGATATATACATATTAATAATAAAGTCTATTCGCTCACCTGTGTCTTTTACTTCTTCCGCCACCATCGTCCATGCTTTTTCGGTAATATTTCTCTTGCTATATTCCGATAAAGTATGATTCCATATGCAAGGGTAATCCTCTATCGCCATAACAAAATTAGTATTAAAAAGAGGGTCTTCGGAAAACATATTGGCTATGTTTCTGCCTCAAACACGCAACAAATACTGTAAAAAAACAAGAGTAGAACACCGCATACAGTTTATATTTTCAGACATGTACATGCGCTGCACTGATATGCTGCCGTTTCAATGACACCCACGTGATTTTATTGTTTTTATGCGGCACAAGTCTATTCGCGGTATTTACCGGATGTTGCATGTTGCGTGTTTGATGTATCCTTGGTCTGCGACCCGCCTTAGATTTCGTACAGCTGGCATAATATCTTGTTGCAGTAATTCTACGTACCGCTGTCCATTTAATAAGTTGCCGTTTATAAAAACGGACCGATAATGCTGTCTCCCAAAATCCCTGCCCAAGTATTAAGTTTTTGCGAGTGTTGGATTCTCAAAGGCAAATTTAAATACTTATTTTCCCGGGACCAATATCGGACTATTGAACAGTTGTGGTGACCCTGAAGTGGAAACGATGACTCATCGGTAAACAGGACGTTTTCCAAAAATTGTTCGTTCTTATCAATTTTTTCCCTCATAGCCTCACAGAATTCCATACGTTTAATTTGGTCCACCGGGAAAATCTTTGGCTACTGGTTACTTTAAAAGATTTGTAACCATGTTTTATTTTAAATATGCCTAACTGTACGAGCCGGAATGTCAATTTCCTCGGAAATTACGAGGACGAGAGGGTAAAAAAGAGGCACAGGCGAAACATTTTTTGAAACCTCGCCCGAATGTCTAGAATTTACGAAAAGGTTATGTCAACGGTATGCGATTGATGGTCTTTTCTACCTTTTTAAAAATATTTATACCCAAAACTTGTTAAAGTAAAACAAACCATTTTCAACAAAACTTTTTTTCAAAACATAAGCTAACAGTAAGTAAACATAAAATAGTTAACCATGTTTATCGCGTCCACAAATATGTCTTGTACATAAATATATCTCTATTTTCTTTCCTATACAAACGTGTGGGTGTAGCGAAAGACACAGATTATAACATTTTTTTAAAACATTTTGTGGCGATAGCAGAATATTTTTTAGATTTTGAGTTTGGTATGTAAAAAAGAGGACTTTTCCAATTCGTGAGAGGAAAGAGGACAGTGCGATCAAAAATAGGACTGTCCCCTGGAATAGAGGACGGTTGGCAACCTAAGTTATAACTTATTAAAATGGAATGTGAATTAAAAGTCGGGATGTCGGGATGCTAAACATTTTTATTTATTTTAATATCATATATTATATCCAGTCTTCATTTACAACGTCTTATTATAATATATTTATATACAGGGAAAATATACAGGGTGATTCACGGCCATGGTACGATAGAGGCTTATGGAGAACCGGTGATAGGAGTTTTGTAAAAAAAAATTATAAAAATTTGGATTTTTTTTTTGGAAAAAAATATTTTCAGCATTAATGTGTTACCGCTTCATACTAAAAGTGTTAGCATCTCTGTTACATTAAATTGAACATCCAGTATATTATTACTTTTTCGAAACTATATACATAGACGTGACCAGGCTTTTTAATAAAGGGGGGGGGCAAAGTTAAAGATTACGAACCGGAGAAAAAAATAGCGCCGCAGGCGAACATTTTTTTATACGAGTGTGCGCAAAGTAACATTTTCCGCACGCAGAAAATTGATTTTCCGCACGTGCGGCAAAATTTTTTAAACTGTAGAGAAAATTTGAATATTAGCCATGTTGCTTGGTAAAAGTGGTGTTATTATTTGAAGCCAAAGAATAAAATCTGATCAAATTTGTTTCTAACCTCGAAAACAACCCTTTCTGATATGTTATGACACTTATCCTGACAAGTGAGCCAATTTGAATTACGCACTGATGCACGCACTTTTTCTTTCTCTTGCTCAAGCTACGATGATCTGTTACTATGTCAGAATGATGTACAACAAATAATAATAGGAATGGCAGATCTCTTCATCAAATTTTTCCTTTTACACTGGGTTAAGTCACCTTAATTTAAAGAAGATAAAATTCGATAGAAAGCCTCGCTTTCTAGAAAGTGCTCACCCGACTACTTCCCGCACCCTCCGTAAAATCCTGTCTTGCGCAGTGTCTTTGTGTAGTGCTACGCCACGTTGTTCATCAAGTGAAACTTGTCGTTTGAAAACTTTCCTTTCGGTTTTCCTCACTCAATCACGTGAACGTGTGTCTTAGCCAACCCCTTCGGAAAAGTGGTGAGCGGCTTTACATTAAATTGTGAAAGGCCGTTCTTTGTCTTTCAAAAGGTGGCTGACTATGCAGAGCAGTAGGTAGCGTCCATTGGTCAATACTTTCACAAGTACTGTCGGGATGCGTTTCCTGTGCCTAATCCATCCGTGATTGAAGAGAAAGCGAAAAAAACCTACAATTTTGACCGTGGTGTGCTGCTTCACGTACGGTTAGATTGTGGGCTAGTGAACAAACGAAAGACAAGGTTCTCTTTTCCGGGTTAAAATAGGGTTTAGCTAGTAACTTTTTGATTTCGCGATCTTGCCACGCCTGCGCTACATGATAGACGTCAGGAGGCCGCCTGCCGTCTTCGTCCCGGTGCGCACGTGGTGCCCCGTTTTCTTTTAGAAAGTAACAAGACACTGCGTAG